AGAAGTCATCCCTTCCCTCTTCTCCTCTACCCATACAAAAAAATTAAATGCAGAGTTCAAAGTGTTGGTCACAGTGGGTAATCGGGCATTGGAGGAAACATGCTGGAGGCCAATAAACTCAACAAAAACGTAATGCAGTACACACTGCAATGATTGTCGACAATAAAGGCAGGGGAGAGACAGAGGTCTCATGCGGAGGTGGAAGTTTTCTATTACCAAAAATCTGCATTTGCTGCAACTTTTGTCACATTGCAGTGTGAACACTCTCCAGGTTTTGTCGCCAGAAAGGGTTGCAAGTGTAGACAAAGCCGTAGTGTCTTATAACCCTCTGTTACAAGATTAGCCCAATAGATTTTGAGGGTATATTCTACTCTTGTTTAATATTCTTTAATGTTGATAAAGAGTGTGTACTGATGTGGAAATGGACTCCTAGGCATTTTCCTGGGAAATGTGATCCTGCAGTGGGATCTATTAGTGCATACCTTGCACCCCTGTCACGTCCCATAGCAGGATTGGTGCTTTAGGAACATCAGTTGGTTCAATAAACTGAAAAGAACCTCGTGAAGAGTGATTTCCTCATTCTTCTGTAGTGAAAAAACATGGCAAGAAGGAAGGAAGTTTGATTTCGCTGTGGCAACGTGATTACTACATTGAATCAAGTAGTATTAATACTTCGCACTTCTGTAATGCCTTCTACCCACAAGCCTTCATGCACATTAAAAAGATGAATCCTCTTAGCTCCACCAGAGGTTTGATCCTACTCTCACTGAAGTCAATGGCATACCTTCCATTGGTTTTAATGGTGCAGGATTAACCCCCAAGTTCCCATAGGTAAGTATAATTATTCCCACTTTATAGATGAGAGAATTAAAAGCGACAAAGGTAAGAGCCAACATTTTCTAAGTTGGGTGTCTTGTAGTGAGGCAGTGTAATACAGCCGGTCCTCGAGTTGCGAACGGTCAAGTTATGACCATACGCATTTATGACTGAAGTGGTCGTAAATGCGGTCCCCGAGTTACGAACGCAATCCATGCTTACGAACAGCGCAGTTGCCATGTAACTCAATGGGCTCCGAGTTAAGAACACTTCGAGTTACGGCCAAGTGTTTGGTCCGTAACTCATTCATAACGGGGAGAGGCTGTGTAACTGTCCTGATTTTGCTAAGCAATGGCAATTTCCCAGTGAAGTCTCTGGGAACTGCGTGCGCGCCTCTCCACCTGGAAAGCAGATAGGATTGCCAAATGGTTTCAACAAATTGCACGCCTCCTCACCTGGAAAGCAGATAGGGTTGCCAAATGGTTTCAACAAACATACCGGAAACACTTGACATTACATCACAATCTACATTACAGCTTATTTAGAAAACACCGGATAGTTATATTTTCTCATTTATATTTTCTCCATTGGTTTCCTGAACAGAAAGCTCAAATACTGGACTGTCCGGTTCAAAACTGGACACCTGGCAACCCTAAAAGCAGACCTCTTTCAGTTAGGTGCCTAAATATGGAATTAAGTGCCTAGTTTTAGGCATCTACCTGTTAAATGGGTTTCATAAATGTATCTACCTTTAAAAGGTCTTGTGGGGATTTGATAATATTTACAAAAACAATCTGAAGATTAAATTCATTCTGGGCTAAACCCTGATGTCCTTATTCCATTTTTACTCTGTGCTTACTGCAGCAAAATTCCCAGTGACTTTATAAGTACTAGGTTACTATAATTGTGGAGCAATACACAGGCTTTTTTAAAAAGTCCAAGTACTTCTTAGTTATCTTCAGTTTCAGAGGTTACTCAGCATCAGTCTCTGATTTGCTAGCAGTTTGGCCATGAGACCTGGTAAACTATCATGCAGCAAGGACGAAAGAGGCCTTATGCTACTTTTGTACTTCTTTGTATTTTGGGACTAGATAGGGCCCTGCTATTTCTCAGTATAAATCAGAGTAGCCTCATAGCCACTGTAATTTACAGTCAGTTGTCCATGGAGCACAAGGGTATATTCTGGCAGTTGAGAGTAGCAGATCACAGCAGTGGTTCTTTCCTGGCCATGCTTCTAGCATTCCTGTACCTCAAGCTTTAAGAAGGGGTACATAGCTCCATTATGCCAGTTAAGCACCACCCAGATAATTCTCTTACACAATTACCCACTCTCTGAAGCCTCTAGTTTTATGACCCTATATGCTGCCAAAGTGACGAAAGTGGCCTCAGGTATCTATATATGGTATGTATGAGAGAGACATTTATCCTCTTCACAAAAGGAGAGGAATAAGCAAAAGGTCAAAAAGTACACTGTAAAGACTGCACATCATCTCCCAGGCAGGATAAATCATCTGAGAGCTTACCACATGGTGAAAATCCTTTAAAGACACAAGGAAATGAAATAATAAACACATCTTTTGCCGGAAAGAATGTAACTAACTAGCACAATATCTGTGAATCCAGCTGATAAAGAACCAGGGATTTTCCCTAATGCTTGGTGAAAGGGGATATCTGCTTATGCGGAAACAGAGATAAAGCGTTTATTAGATGTTTAAAATATTTTATCTTTAGTCAAACATTTACCTATTTAACAATTTAACATCTTTTATTCCCTTTGGCTTAGTCTCCACCAAATTCTAAGACATGTAAGACATATATATTTTATAGAGTACAAAATATTCATGTGATTGACCTCAGTGCAAAGGACCTAAAAATCTATTCATCTCAATAATCCAGCCACAATTATAGGGGCACCAATAATCATGTTCTTTGGAATCAAAAGATAATTATGGAGTCACTTTTTACAATCACTCAACTAAATTCATCCCAGGATTTTAAGGCACGCAACGAACACCAGAACATATTAAATGAGCCCCCAAATACATCCCCTCTTAAAAAAAACCACACACACACACAGAATATACAAAAAACAAAAATATACTTTTAAAAGTTCCACACAGTTTAAAGAATTCTAATGAAATTGTCCATTTTAAATATGCAAAATATTTCTGAACCTAGTGGAACTTTAAGGGTGTTCACTGTATCATTATTATTATAAATATACAATCAGGACTAGTTTAATTTAAGCAATACAAGTGACTACTTGAGATTTCATAATTGTAGGAAGTCTGTGGTCTAACACTGACTTGGGAACTCAGTAACCTTCCTGACTGCACCTTCTGAAAGCAAAAGAAGAGAAAACTTCATGGCAACTTGTGAACTCTCAAAAAATCATAAATCATATAGAGTTGACTGAAACTACTTAAATAATGCACACTGGCTGGAGTTTTTCCAGTAATATAAATTGTAAATAATGATATGTCACAAGCAGCAAAATCAGCAATGAACCACTGTGGGCAAGGAATGACGGAAGGAGAAGAGAAAGCATCTGAGTTCTGGGTGGTGCCTAAGCATGTGAAATACTTCCTGGTAATCATTACACAGCAGATATTTCCAAAGTCACTGAGCTTTTAGCAAGAACTGAGAGCCATAAGCTATGTAAGAAAATGTAGGCCCGCCCTTAGCATGTGGCTGTGATTAATGCATTTCTCACTATTTGATCAAAAGTTTCTTTAATGCCAAAAATTCCTCTACCTACCACTCTCTTTTTCTCCCATGTCACACTAAAGAGGCCCCATTTAATTCCAGAGAAACAAAAATACATGCTAAATAGGATGTATTTCCATCCATGTAATCATTTTTTATTTTCCGTAATTAAAAAAAAGAAAAATATCCTTTATTTCTTAACATCTGTTTTCAATTTTCCTGGAAGAAAAAATGCTTTCACATTTCTTATGCTATTATGCTAAGCATCTTTGGCCAAACTTTAGGGATCTTTTTTGCTTGTTTACTTTTCCAAGTAGGCACCAAAACACATTACCACAGTTTCTAATTTGTGTATTTTTAATTTGTGTGTTTTGTATTCCTTTGATGCTTTTTATCAGTCGGTGCTGGTGTATTGGCTTTTCATATATAGAGAGATTAATCAAAACTTCTTGCCTCAGAAAATTTCAAATTTTGGTTGAAAAATGTATCCTTACACCAAAATACTGCAATTGAAAACAATAATTGTTCAGTATTTGAACTCCCACCAAAAAACTGAAATTTTCAGTGAAATCCTCACTCCACCTTTTTTTAGCACACTTTGTGGATTTGGAGGTTTTCAATTAACAGACCATGAATTGGTTTTCAATACATCACACACTTTTATTGTTTCTTCGGCTACGTCTAAACTGGCATGATTTTCCACAAATGCTTTTATCGGAAAAGTTTTCCGTTAAAAGCATTTGCGGAAAAGAGCGTCTCGATTGGCATGGATGCTTTTCCTCAAAAGCACTTTTTGCGGAAAAGCGCCTGTGCCAATCTAGACATGCTCTTCCGCAAAAAAGCCCCGATCGCCATTTTTGCGATCAGGGATTTTTTTGTGCAAAACAAATCTGAGCTGTCTACACTGGCCCTTTTACGCAAAAGCTTAGCGCAAAAGGGACTTTTGCTGGAACGGGAGCAGCATAGTATTTCCGTAAGAAACACTAATTTCAGACAGTAGGAAGTCAGTGTTCTTACAGAAATTCAAGCAGCCAGTGTAGACTGCTGGCAAGTTTTTCTGCAAAAGCAGTTGCTTTTGTGGAAAATCTTGCCAATCTAGACACAGCCTTCAAACGCTTGCGCTGGGCCCTGATGTTATGTGTTCCCGTCACTCAGGTTTGGCCTGGCTGCACAAGAGGGGTGGCTAGGGCAAATCTGAGCTACTGGATCTGTGACCTCCCCCTCCCATGCCCAGAGAGGGGAAATGGGGCACAGTTGCCACTGTGTGGTGAGCGCAGGGCGGGCTCGCTCCCAGCCCCTGGCAATTTTCTTGGAAGAGCGCGGGGGGAAGGGGGGGGTCACTTGCAGATTCGCCCCCCCCCCAAAAAAAACCCGTCTGCAGCCCCGCCCAGCGCAGGGATTGGGCTGCATCAGCGCTGCCCTGTGTCCCTCCCAGGCAGGGGCAGGCGGCGTCTCCCTCCCTCGAGACCACGGGGGAGAGATCTGCTGGGGGGGGGGATTTCTCAGGGTGTCCCTCCCCCAGTCTCGCCGCCTAGCGAAGCGAGGGGGCAGCACACGCGCCGAGGGGAGCGGGCGGGAGCGCGCGCTGGCCCCCATGAGCGATGAGCGCGCATCCTCCTCTTCTGGGAAGGGAAGGGAAGGGGGCGGGCGAATCGCGCGTGCGCACTAAGGCCAAGGGGGCTGGCTGCTATATAAGCGCGAGGGTGGCACCCAGTCCGCCACAAGCACTAGCCGGAACAGCCGAGTTGTGTGTGTGACGAGCGCGGGCAGGGCGGCAACGATGGTGAAGCGCGTGGCGAACCTGGTGCGTAGCCAATGGCGCCGGCGCGGGCGCCGCGCTCTCCCCGCTGCCTATGGGCTGGGGCGGGTTCGGTTGGGCGGCGGTTGGAACTGCGGCAGCCCGTTGGCTCGCGGGAGCGCGCGCGGCCCCGTCGCGAGGCGGTGCTCTCGGGTCTGAGAGGCCCTGGGGATGGGCCTTGCCCGGTGCACGGCTGGGGGGGGGGGGCTGCGCCGGGCCTGTGCGGGGAAGGGGGCGCGCTCCGCTCGCCACTGCCCCTATCTCCACACACACCTGCTGGGTGTGGCCCTGCGGCCGCTGCCACGGAGCGATGAGCCCGCGCTGGGCCTTGGGTGCGAGTCCGCCGCGCGTGTGCTACGGCCCCGGCTTGGAGTCCACCTGTCAGCGTCACACCTGCGCCTTTCCCTGGGCCCCGCGCGGCACGTGGAGGGGCCCCACGTAGCTGCCTGGGGGGGGGGTCTCGATTCAAACGGTGCACAGCACCATTGCTTCCCCTCCCCCCCCCCAGCCCGCAGGGCGTTGCATGGGCTAGAGGGGCGCTCAGCTGCGGGGACACGAGCAAGGCTCTTCCCATGCGAATTCTGCGCTTGGGACGCACGCTGTAGTAGCGACAGCGAGGGTGGGAGCCGTCTGTGGTCTGCAGCAGTTTAATTAGAAAGCTGAAGCGAAAACTGATAGGCTGTGTTGACACTGGGCCACTTATTCCGGAAAATCAGCCGCTTTTCTGGAATAAGCTGCGAGCTGTCTACACTGGCTCTTGAATTTCCGGAAAAGCAACGATGCTCTACTGTACAAAATCAGCCGCTATTCCGGAAAAACTATTCTGCTCCCACTCGGGCATAAGTCCTTATTCTGGAACACTGTTCCGGAAAAGGGCCAGTATAGACAGCCCAGTAGTCTTTCCCGGAAAAAAGCCCCGATCGTGAAAATGGCAATCGGGGCTCTTTTCCAGGAAAGCGCGTCTACATTGGCTACAGACGCTTTTCCGGAAAAAGGGCATTTCCAGAAAAGCAGCCTGCCAATATAGACGCTCCTTTACTGGAAAACTGAAAATGGAATAGTATTCCGTTTTAAGCAGTTCCGGAAATTCATGCCAGTGTAGACACAGCCATAGTGTAAGCTCTGCCTGATGTCGAAATATAGCTTCTTACCTGCCACTAACAACAAGAGCATTTTCAAGTGAAAGCACAAATTTGTTTACACTGTGCAGATGATTCATTGATACTGGTTACATGTCATCTCCATTAGATTTGCTGCTAGTGTGATAGTGTAATGATTACAAGAAGCATGCAGATTCCCTTCTTTGGGGAGGGCCTCAGGTCTAGGATTCTTGCTGTTCATCTGTGCTAGTAGCTTTGCTCAATAGCCTGGAAACTAACATAAGAATGGCCATACTGGGTCAGACCAATGTCCATGCAGCTTAGTATCCTGTCTTCTGATAGCGGCCAATGACAGATACTCCAGAAGGAGTGAACGAACAGGTAATCAAGTGATCCATGCCCTGTCCCCCATTTCCAGCTTCTGACATACAGAGCCTACTGGCAACATTCCTGCCCATCCTGGCTAATAAGACTTGATGGACCTAACCTCCATGAATGTATCTAGTCCTTTCTTGGACTCTGTTAAAGTCCTGGGCTTCTCAACATCCTCTGACAAGGAGTTCCACAAGTTGATTGTGTTGTGTGAAGAAAAACTTCCTTTTATTTGTTTTAAATCTACTATTTTATTTGACACCTAGTTATGTTATGGGAAAAAGTAAAATAACTTTCCCTTAATCTTTCCCCATAGCTGTCATGAGTTTATAGACCTCTGTCATATCCCCCACCTTGTGACTTTTCAGCTTAGAAAAGAGGAGACTAGTCTTTTTAATCTTTCTTCATATGGCACCTGTTGTGTGTCTCTCTCTCTCTCTCTCTCTCTCTCTCTCTCAAAATTAAATAATTACAAACTCCCAAAGTTTCTTAGCCAAGACTTTCAGAAGGGTGACAGGCAATCTAGGCTAGCGAGTGAGCTGCATGGATAGATAGCCCTTCATTTCGGCTGTAAGAGTTTCATATCTAAGACAATCATATTTTCTTCCACTATTTGATCTGAGGAAGTGGGTCTGGCACACGAAAGCTCATCACCTAATAAACCATTTTGTTAGTCTTTAAAGTGCTACATAGTCCTGCATTTTGTTTCAGTTACACCAGACTAACAAGGCTACATTTCTATCACTATCCTGGGAGAGGGTCTTTTTTCCAACTGCACTTAGCTTAGAATTTGTGAGGTGTGACAACTGAATAGTAGCAGAGCTTTCATTGGATGCAGAGGAAGCCCATGGCTCTGAGTCCATGTTGTGTGATCAGCACACACTGCTAATATCAGTAGGAAAAACTGAGCAGAAACTAGTATAATCTGGCAGCCCCACCCCAGGAAACAATGTCTTGTGGGCCACACACCGAACCCTAGTGGCCTCAGAGTCCCCAGGCTCCACACAGTGCTGCCACTTTGAAGCTTCCCCTCTTCTCCCCCCCATCCTCTGTTGCCTTTTTCTGATAGAGGCAGCGAAAGGGGGGGGGGCTAGTTTATACCTCCTAGATGGATTGCTGCCTATCAATCCACCTTGTAGTGAAGATATGTAGTCCCTTTCCAGAGTTGTGAAAAGGGAGGTGCATGCCTTCAGGATAGCACAGCTCAATACTGAGTGGAGCCCAGAGTACAGGCATTGTGGGATACTGGTGGGAGCCAGTTCTGCAGTTTGTTCCATTGACATTCTGTTCATTTTTTGTCCACAATAAAGGGCTGGGAAAAGTCTCAAATGAAAGCTTTTTATCATCAAAACTGGGCATTTTTCACAACAAATTGCACTGGTATGCTCACTAGTCATATTGCACTATGTATGCTCTGTTTTGTCACCAAAAGGAGGTTTTTTACAACAAAACTTGTTAGTGTAGAGACATTTTTCTTTAAAACGTTGGAATAGCATGTCGAACAGTATTTATAGGTGCTCAGGTAAGCTAATGCCTCAACCCGTGTTTTAGTGCTCAGTCTCCTAGTGTCACCAGATTATCATTCAAAGTAATGCTAGTTCTTACAAAAATTGTATTGGCTCTTTTTTGATCCCTTAACTTCCTGGAATTGTTTGCGGCCATGTACAAGATGTGCCACTAGTTGTCAGAAATAAAGGAGTTTCATATTGTACAATTTAATTATAGACAGAGACCTTGGTGATTAGTGTCACTACAAATTCATCTGAGGTAGCTACTTTGAAATCCAGGCTTTGTAGCAACACACAAATCTGACTTAGCAGTGTGAAAAGTTAGTGGATAAGCATCACCCTGGCTATAGTTAACCAGTGGGGTCTGGAGCTGCAGTGGGCAGGTGAAGGTGCTGCACCCCTGGCAACACTTAAGCAGATAACTGGTGAAATGGAATTTTACATCCCTAATCTTTGAATTCCACAGTACAGCAGATTACATAATTTACTTGTTGGCTGAATATTATCCACAGTGAAATCGCATGTGGTTTGTTGTGCCTCTGTTTCATCTGTAGTATACAAGTTGTACTGCTTTTATCCTCCATCTGGTCAAATTTCTGAATTATAACATTAAAGGAACACAGTAATATCTTAAAGTGGCTTGAATTAGAGGTAAGCAAACCTAGTGGGCTTTTAATTGCCTTCATTTAAATGTTTTGTGTGGGGAAATTATACCCTTTGGCTATGTCTAGACTTCCCCCTCTTGCGCAAAAAATGCAAACGAAGCAAAGCATGGAATATTGCTGTGCCTCATTTGCATAATAGGCTCCATTTTTACACAGAACCCCCCTCTTGCAAGAGCCCCCTTCTGCATTTTTTTTTCTGGGAAGAACTGCTCTGCAAGAGGGGGTTTTGTGCAAAAAGGAGCTGTGTAGATGTCTCCTTTTTGCGCAAAGCCTCTTTAATTAAGCAAATGAGGTGTGGTGATATTCCACACTTTGCCTCATTTGCATATATTTTTGCACCAGCGGGGGCAGTATAGACATAACCTGTGAGTCAGGTACTCAGACTTAAGTTGTGGAAGTGACATTCAGCCTTAGTACAAAATATAAATCTGTTTCCCAGAATCCATGGAGTAGTGTTGGCTCAACTGACACACTTTCACAAATGTAGATGGTGTTGTAGGTTTCACTACAAACATCTCTCAGCTCTATCTGCTGCACATGTAAGCTGCTTAAATAGAAGTGACTCCATTATTTGCTTGTAGAAGACTTGGCTATTAAAACCTGCAATAATTTGCCAGGAGTAGACTTCTTAAAATGTAGCTTAGCCGTATACTGTGTGTGGTGTTGCTCTAGGAAGGTAAGACAGTGTTTCTTAGTGGAAAGTGTTGGCTTACACATTGATTCACCTAGTTTCCAGTTTGGGTACTGACCTTCACTCCACTTTGTTTGCCCCTTTGCAAAAATGTGGATATTTACCTGACTTTTGTAAAATGTTTTGAGATTCCCATAAGGATGAAAAACTTGTTCAATGGGAACTATCCGTTCTATTCTCATTATTGTCATCTTGGGTACTCAAAGGAATGAAGATGATGCAATGATTTGGAGTAAGGGTAGGGAATCTAGACAGTTTTATTTTGGTCTTGTCATATGTGTCACATGAAGCTAGGTGCTTTGAAAAATCCAACCAGTGCTTGGAATCTAGAATTACTATGTAGTTAGTGCTCTAACTTTGTCAGCATTTAGTACTGTGAGGTAGTCTTCTACATTGTTATAGTTGGGGTGGAGAGCAGAAATCCTTTCCCTTAGCAGTGCTGAAACCTAAGTTTGCCTTTGTGGTAAATTTTCCAAGACTAACTCAATAAATAACTGCAACATAGAGCTGATCTCTGATTCAGTCTTGAGTTAAATTTACTGATAGAAACTTGAAGCTGTGATTGAGTGATATTAACATAAGACAGGTATGAATCTTTCTCTTGCTACATCATAGCTTCTGATCAGTGGAAATGAGCTACATTACAGTACATTTAGTTTAGAAACTCACATTGCTAGGCTCATGCCCATTCTTACAGATTCTAGTAGAGCAGTGGCCTCCAACCTTTTTACACCCAAGATCACTTTTTAAATCTCAGAACAGGGGAAGATTTACTGCCCTGTCCCTTCCTTGAAGCCCTGCCCTCTGTTCTCCTCCTGTTCATCACTTACTATCCCCAGGCCTTAATTACACAGTCTGATAAACAGTGTATTTTTAAATTATGCGATATATAAAATTAAAATCACATGTTTATAGTTATGAAATAAATGGTCTGTTTTTTATTCATGCTCTTTAAATCTAAAATGAAACATTTATAATTATACATGTTTAATTATCTCTGCAGCTGGGGGCAGGGGAGAGGGAACAGGGTGCCAGTGGGGACAGAGTTCTGTAGCTGGGGGCGGGGGGCCAGTGGCAGCAGAAAGACCTCTGCATCTGCCTCCTCCCAGGATTCCCCCACCCACTCCCCCGAGGGAAGCCAGCACATGCCTCCTCTGGGCCAGACCCCCCTCCCCTCCCTTACATCCCTAGTTTGGTACTGTTGTCTTAGCTAAACTTGTACTCACCTGACAGCTGACAGAATACTTCATTGTAAGCAGGAGTATTTTTAATATCCAGATGAGATGTTATAACTTTAACTGGCACTGCTGGCTGACAAGAAGCTAAAGGCAAGATAAGAAAATTCTATTTAACTCCACTTTGCTGCTCATACCAGTTTATGCTGTCTTTCTGTTCCTAATAAACAGAACCATGTACATTTATCAGATCCCCTAGTTACTATTCTACTAACTAATGGATTTAACTTTCTGCTTACAAGACTAAACCTGAGCCTGCAGGCAGCTTGAGCTATGTGATGTCAATGATACCTTTCAGTGCTGGTCAACAGTGCTCCTCAACTATAGAGCTTAAATCAGGGTTGGGGAACCTCAGACCCAGGGGCCACATCAGCCACCACTG